CATAAACAGTGCCACCCAAAGGTAATAAAGGAGGTCAGAATTGCTTCCACCATGGAAAGCTGGACCACTTCAGTAGACAGTGTCACAGACAAGAGCCACAGATAGGCAAGGGAGTAGAGAGGAAGCTCCCACTCACTTGTTTTAAGTTTGGATCTTAAGGACATTTGGCCAAGGGTGGCCCACATCAGGTCCTCGTGGCTGACAGGACTGACAGGCCCCAACTCCCAGCTGGAAACAAAGGAGAATGCTTCTACGATTCAGATCCTCCCAGAAGAACCGTCGGTGAGCATTAATATTACTTGTAAGAATATTAATTTTCTCCTGGACACAAGAACCTACTATTTGGTCCTAAAAGCCTTCTGAGGTCCCAACTCTTCTCACTATTTCTTAGTTGTTGGAATTGATGGAAAACCTCATAAGCAGTTCCTTAATTCACCTCTGCCTTGCATGTGGACTTCCGAGTTGTAAAACAACCCAGTGGTAGATGGAATTTGCTCCAGGACTTCAGAACAATAAATGACATAGTTGAGATTTCTACATCTTGTGGTTCCTAACCTTTATACTATAATAGACAAAGTGCTAGTTAATAGGCCTTTTATTTTAAGAACTACCTTCCCTCTCTAACTTGATTTGTACCACTGTTAGAACCTCTACTTGGAATATTACTGCTTTTTAATTTTTGACTCATGTACTTTTAACTTGTTAGTTTAATTTGTATCTTCTAGGCTACAACAGTTCCATGATGCATCTTCAAGGATATGAACATTACATGGCTAAGCACAACTGATAACAGTGCATCTAAATTCCAAAATCAATCTCCACAATAGTCTATGTGTTTCCTATTGCCAAAGAGGCCCTTTAGAGTTGTTGTTATGTGCCTTCGAGTTGTTTGCGACTAATAGCGACCCTATGTACAACAGCCCTAAACCTTGCTCTATCCCTTTAGAGTAGTGAGAGATGATCGTTCAGCGTCCCTTGTCAGCAGGAAGTAGCTAAGAGAATACGCTCTCCCCTTTCCCTTACGAATCAGGATGAAATCTCTCTTAAGGAGGAGTGATAGGGAATGGCAAAGGACACACTGACAAAGGAGATTAATGAGAACTGGTTTTGACAAGCACTGTGGCAATAGGTCAGTTAAAACAAACTTTCAAGGAATATTCAACCTGAATCCTTCTGATCATATGGAAATTTTTGAAAGTATTTCTTTGAGTTATTTGTTCTATTTGTTTGTTTGTGTATAAAGGATGCTCATCTAGATGATAACATAGTTATGATAAAAACAAAAGGGGGGAAATATGGGAAGCCAATACTAAATATTTGTAGTAAACTGAATGTTGTTTAAATAAAGGGGGGAAAAAGGAAAAATAAAAGCTACTGTCTCTCTCCTAAAGCTCTGGGAGTGTCTAGTGTGATCAGAAAGAACTAATACTTGGGGTAGGTATTAGCTGTCAGTTCTGAGCTTCTTGATTATGAAGAAATCTGAAGAGTATTTTTCAGAACTTCTTGTTTAGTACCTGATATGATACTTTCGCCCAGCCAAATGGCTGGCCCAGTATCCTGACTTCCAGAACCTGTAGCCATCCATCTCTCTTCGGCTATCACAGAAAGGAGTATAACCATAGGGAGCACCGTCCAAATTGAAATCTCTTAATTCTTTCAGATCTGTCCGTACAATCTGGAGAAAAGAAAATCCAGAGTCAATTTTAAAGTAAATATGCACTTAACTATACATTGTCCTTAAGATACAGGAGAGATGTATGCTGCATGGAGAGCAGAGTGCAATTAACAGCCCAAGGTCAACACATGTTCAGGTTGAGAGCAGATTCCTCTAATTAGTAGGTGGTTGCTCTCCATAAACTATAATACACTTAGTTTAGTTTGGTTTACATAATTTAAGTATTCAAAAGAGCAGAAAGAAAACAAATTAAAATTTCTAGCCTCTCTGTATCCTGCCTTCTTCATCTGTCAAATGAGAAAAATTTGTGGTACAGTTAGTGCTGAACAGGATTAAACATGGTCCTATTAGACACACCTACAAAGACGAATGCAAAGTTGCTCAAGAACCTTAGTCTTAAATTTAAAATCATCTATTATTCATCGAAGGAATAAAGTTATAATGAATTAAAAAAATTTAAAATCATGAAGATCCTGGAAGAAAGTATAGCAACAAAGTTTTAAAATATAATTTTGTTCATTGACAGATCATTGAACACAACAACAAACACAAAAGCAACAGAAAGCCCTGAGGACTCATAAAAGATTATATACTCAAGTTAATCAAAAGATCTTATCAATTATAGACTTGGGAAAATTATTTGAGGATGAGTGAACTGATAAAAGACCAATATTAAAAAAATATAGAAAATGAATAACAAAATGGTAAACAGCACAATAATAAATTTATAACAAATTCATAATGAATTAAATAATAAATTTGTCAAAACTTCCAACAAACAAAAAAAAGATGCTCAAAGCCATTAGTCATTGCTATCATTGTATTCCACTGAGTAAGGACCAAGTGACAACTAATCCTTCAGCAGGATTTTCGAAGCAATAAAAGCATGGGAAAACGGCCCATCCTTTTCCTGTGGAACAGCTAATAGACTCAAACTGTGAGCCTTGTGTTGGCAGTGCAATTCTTTACCACTAAGTCACCAGATCTCCCTCTGTAAGTCATTAGAGAGATAAAAATCCAAACTGAAATGAGACATCAATGCATCCTAGCTAAAATACTGACTTAAAAAAAACCCCAAAACAAAACAAAAGTAACAACAAATGTTGGTAAGTACATGAGGCAATTGAAATAGTTTCTTGCTAGTGGGGCTCTAAAATGGTATAATTGCTATAAAAAGCAGTATATTGTTCTAAAATACTAGAAACAGAAACAGTTTATGATGTATCAATTCTACCATAAAGTATACACCCTAGGTATCTAGTAAAAGAGACAGACAGATGCATACCTGTGCTCACTGCAGCATTATTTATAGTAGCATAAAAATGGAGTTGTACAATTTGATGGAGAGGGGTGAGGGAAACTGGAAGAATCTGTTCTTGAAAACAATGTATTCGATTTTGTAAATAAACTAGTATAATTTTTTTTAAAAGGAACCATCTCAAGTGCCCATCAACAAATGAATAAATAAGCAAAATGTGGTGTGTATATATGCACACACTACATTTTGGTATACTGTACAATCACAGAAAATATTGATTAGTCATCAGCATTGTTGTTACATGTTGTTGAGTCACCTGCTTAGGAGGCACAATACTAAATCAACCAAAAGGATAATTATGGTATGGTCTTTCTTGTACAAGAATTAGGTATACAAAGAATGATTAATGGTCAATGGTTGTTGCTAGGGATGGGAGTGATGAGAAAGAATTACACTTATTGGTGACAGGAAAGGCTGTACCAGATGTGGGTGCAATAAGTATTGGTTGACTGAACAATGCCAATAAAAAGCTCCTAAGAGAAAAAGATGTTTATTAAACTAAATGGCATATATAATTTGGAAACAACACCAGCAAATAAATAGCCATAAAAGGGGAGAGTGGCCACATATGCATGTACATAGGCATACGTGTGTATATATAGTCCAAGTGAACCTATACACACACTGATAGAAGTACATAAATACAAACCTTTGTTTATGCATGTAAGCACCTATGTCTTCTTATAGAAGATACAGTCAAAAAAAATTCTTAGGCATAACCAAACACTGTGTGAGATGGATTTTCTGAGCTTGAAAAATTTAAAATCTTAGTCACATGGGGAAAACGCAGTCAATTGATATGATACTGTTCAAAGAGGTGACATTCTGTATCCCAGTGAGGTGAGTAGTGTCTGGGGGTCTTTATGAGTTTGCCATATAAGTGTTAATCTCCACTATGTTGGAGAAAAGGAAAGAGAAGTCAATGCTTCAGAAGAAAACTACTCGAGAAACTTAGAAGCCTACATGAGCCAAGCCACTGAGACCAGAAGATCTAGCTGGTTCTCAGCTACACAACAGATAGACTGTGACAGAATGGGAAAAAGCTGTGGGACAATATTCAAATTTTTTTTAAAAGTCTCAACTTATTAGACCAATTGAGACTGTTGTTGTTAAGTGCCGTCGAGTTGCAGGTGATTCACAGCGACACTATGAAGGAGAGTCCTCAATGCTTGTGTCTCTTTCATCCTCTCTCCAGGTTCATAGGGTTTCCGGAGACAAACTATTATGGAAGTGGATGCCACTCCTGCTTCAAAGCTTGTTTTAATTGGGGAGCTCCACCTCACACTGTCTGCAATTGGGTAACCAACCATTAATGCATTTGATACATCAGTGTCACAGTGTTCAGCCTCACAGCAATCAGCATGGCAAGTGGACACACCAGGGCTATACGACCTATAGGAATGTTTGAAATAAAAACAATGAAAGACAGGTCGGAGGCCGTGGATTAATCACCCACCTTTGGCTTGGCAGCATTGCTTTTTGTCCACTGGGCCAACTGAACTCTCTATATGTTGATGTTATTGTTGTTAAGTGCCGTCAAGTCGCAGGTGACTCACAGCAACCCTATGAAGGAGAGTCCTGTTTGTTCTCCTGGTAGTCCATGGTATATTCAATACACTTTTCTAGCACCACAAATCCAAGGCAAGTAATTGCAAAGACCATGGCCTGTATCAGGCACACTTTAGTTTCCAGACTGACATCATTGCACTTCAGTACTTTGGCGAGGTCTCTGATAGCAGATTTTCCCAATGCAATTCATCTTTCTATTTCCTGGCTGCTGTTACCAAGAGTGCTGATTGCAGAGCCAAGTAAACGAAAGCTGTTAACAATTTCAATCTTTTCACCATCTACCATGACGCTGCCAATCGACCCAGTGGTGAGAATCTTTGTTTTCTTGATGTAGAACTTCAGGTTCTCCACCGTTTCAGCAAGCAGAGTTATGTCATCTGCATAATGCAGATTGTTGATGAATCTTCCACCAATTCTGATGCCACACTTATCCTCAAAGAGCCCAGCCTTCTGGATAATCTGTTCCTCATACAGACTGAAAAGATATGGAGATAGGGCACATCCCTGGTGTATACCCTTTCCCTATTCTGAACCTTGCAGTGTTTCCTAGCTCTGTTTTGACGACTGCCTTCTGGTCTAAGTATAGGCTTTTCATAAGCACAATCAAGTGTTCTGGGATTCCCATTCTTCTCAGAGTCAGCCACAGTTTGTTGTGATCCACACAGTCAAACACCTTTGCAAAGTCAATGAAACACAGACAGACATTCCCCTGGTATTCTCTGCTTTCAGCCAAGATCTATCCGATATTAGCTATTATATCCTTAGTACCATGGCCTCTTCTAAACCCAGCCTACACATCTGGCAGTTCTGTTGATTTGCTGTTCCAGTCATTTTTGGATAACCTTCAGCAGAATCTTGCTTGCATGTGGTTTTAATGATATTGTTCGATAATTTCCATACTCTCTCAGGTCACCTTTCTTTGGAATGGGAACAAATATGGATCTCTTCCAGTCGGTTGGCCAGGTAGTGGACCCCATTAAAAAAAGTATTTCTGTTAAACCAAATAGGGAGCTCTGGTGGCCTAGTGGTGAGGAACTACATTGCAAACCTAAAATATATGGTTCAAATCCACTGGCTTCTCTGCCCATGAAAGACGGGCAATCTCCTCCTATACATTTTGCTGCCTCTGAAAACCTGCTGGAGGGTAAGCTATGAGTTGCACATGACAACAAATTAGGCCAAAAGGATCAAGAATTACTCTAAAGGAAATCTAAAAATGGTGTGACTTCACAACAAATGACCAAGAGGTATATGAAAAGGTGGAAAGGGAATTATTAGGAGGAAGTCAGTTATAATCTCCACCCTCAAATATTTTGCTGGATACCAGCGGTCTTTATGACACCAATTGTCTTTTCCACAGGCCCTTTCGTCATCTCAGCTAATTTAGACAACTGTTATGATGGCTACATAGAACCCACAGACTGTACTCACAGTTACAGAATTAAGGAAATAATAGATTACACTTGAGGATTAGAAACAATGCACAGCCGCCTGCCTCTGGCAGTGTAGCTCCTTACCACCAGGCCACCAGAGTTCCCTATCTGGTCTAACAGAGAGCCTTTTAAAATGGAGTCTAGTACACACAGGTACTTTATTTTGTTTGTCAATATGTCCACAATCAATACTCTTGACATGAGCAGTAAGGAAATCAAAAGATAAACTGCACTGGGCAAATCTGCTGTCAGATACCTTTCCAGAGTACTGAAAAGCAACGATGTCATTCTAGAGATGATGGTGCACCTGATCCAGGCCATAGTATTCACAATTACTTGCTATGCATCAGAGAGCTGCATGACTAAGGATGACAGAAGAAGAACTGATGCCTTTGAGTTGCTGTGCTGGAGGAGTCTTGAACATACTATGGACCACCAGAAAACAAATAGGTCTGTCTTGGAGACGTAAAACCAAGTTTCTCCATGGAGGCTAGGGTTTTGAAACTCCATTTCACATACTTGGGTGTGTGGCCAAAAGAGACTGGTTCTTGGAGAAGGACATCATGTGTGTGGGTGGAGGGACAGCACAGGAGATGAAGACCCAGGATGAGATGGATTGATATAGTAACTGGGGTAAGGGGGGTTGGTGTGTTGGAATTAGTGAGATTGACTCAGGACAG